GTGGAGACTTGTATGCTGTAAGTTTTGTAGCATTGAACTATTGGATTTGTGAAGGACTTTATGAAGGATATTGTACTACTTGAGTATGATCATTTTCTTTCGAGTTGAATCTAAATCTAGGATGGCATTTTTGGCATTGCAGACTGTCTTTGAAAATAGTCTGATGGAGCACCGTGTTGCACTTCCTCCCGATGCTATGGGCAAAATTACTTACGTCGCACCACCTGGTCAATATTCATTGAAGGTTTGACTGACTTTTGAATTACTATTTTGGTATCCCATCCTATGACCATCATTGTCAACTGACATTGTAGTATGTTTGGAGTATGTTTATACATTTGCATGTATACAAATGATACAGGGTTCTGTATAAAGCATGTCCTTGACTAGATTAGAGAGAAAGTATATAACTTTATATATGTACCTGGTGGATTTTTGAAATCATGGTCTGACAGCTAGAAGACATTGGAACTCATATTTCCATGAAATAGTGTACAAGGAGAATTATAATTTGAAATTTGTCCATGATGCGTACTCCTCTTGGACATAATGTATCCTTTTTAAACTCATGAGATACGCGTTCGGCAGCTTTGTCACCAATGCATTGACTCTTCCTATATGCATTTGCAGGATACTGTGTTAGAGCTTGAGTTTCAAGGTGTCAAAAAGAAATTTACTATGCTTCAGGTTTGTATAGTTTGCTCTGTGGGTTATGCTTTCAGATTGTTCATACACTATGGTTCATCATTGTAAACTATATTTTATTTGGCATGCATATTTGCAGACTTGGCCTGTACGTACACCAAGGCCTGTTGCATCAAAGCTTGCGGCTGATACCCCTCTACTCACTGGACAGGTACATTAAATGTTTCTTCTATCGACTCTTTTTATCTTTTGGGATTAGTGGTTCCTGACAACTTTGTTTTATATCAGCGTGTTCTTGATGCCCTTTTCCCCTCTGTTCTTGGTGGGACATGTGCCATTCCTGGGGCTTTTGGTTGTGGAAAAACGGTTATTAGTCAAGCTCTTTCAAAGGTACACATATTGATTAATTATGAGAGATTTCCTATTGTTATTTATACACTGGACTTCACGGTAGATGTTTTGCTTGTGTGCAGTACTCTAACTCAGACACTGTAGTTTATGTTGGTTGTGGAGAACGTGGAAATGAAATGGCTGAGGTATGTTATTCTATAATCAGATAATTATTTACCTATTTCAACTGTCTTGGATTTGATCAAGTTGAAGTAATCAATGTTGCAGGTGCTTATGGATTTTCCTCAATTGACCATGACTTTGCCTGATGGCCGTGAAGAATCTGTGATGAAGCGCACAACACTTGTGGCCAACACTTCTAACATGCCTGTGGCTGCTCGTGAAGCTTCAATCTATACTGGTAAACCTTAATTGCTGTCTCACTAAGCTTTCACTAATCTAGTAAAGAACTTTAGAGTGTGAGAGGATGATATTTTATTCTTATAAAAGTGCTTGATTTCATTCGACTTCATCACCTTCAATGGTCCATTACATAGGCCAGCAAAAAGCATAGAGATTGACACTGGCTCAGATAGGAATTGAACTTTTCTATAGATTTTTTCTGTGAAAAATTACTTAGGTTTGCTGAAGTTACTGGTCTTCTGGTGAGTTTGAGTCTAATTATTATCTTAGGAATTGGTTTCATATTCTTCAACTTGTGTCCTTGAAATTTTCAGGAATCACTATTGCTGAATACTTCAGAGATATGGGTTACAATGTCAGCATGATGGCAGATTCAACTTCTCGATGGGCTGAAGCATTGCGTGAGATTTCTGGGCGGCTGGTAATTCTCATCCTTTTTTTTTTTGTTTATTCAGAAAGGTGCTATTTAATTGATTTATACTCTCTCTCTCTCTCTCACACACACACACACACACACACACACACACACAAAAACACACCCACCCACCCACAAGCAGACACAAAAATTATGTCATATGGCTTATTTTTGTTCACAAACCCCTTAGGAAGCTTTCATATTTTCCTTCAATAAATGAAATATTATTTTCATTCTATAAATGAAATATTATTTTCATCCTTTAATGGCATTTGTCTTGCTTTTACAGGCAGAAATGCCAGCAGATAGTGGATATCCTGCTTATTTGGCAGCACGTTTAGCATCATTTTATGAACGTGCGGGTAAAGTGAAATGTCTTGGTGGACCGGAGCGTACTGGTAGTGTGACTATTGTCGGTGCTGTTTCTCCCCCAGGAGGAGATTTCTCAGATCCAGTGACATCTGCAACCCTTAGCATTGTACAGGTATAATTTGCAATGCCATTTTTATGCATGAAATTATAGCTAATAGGAGGCTTCTTGTTGATGCCTTGCAAGTGGCTGCCTTGTTAAGTCATGAATGCACCAGATTTATGAGCTTGAGATTCGTTCCACCAGTAGGGGTCTATTCCTCCTGGGAAAAGACGACCTTGAGTATCTTACCTTAATCTTTTACTCTCATTAAAGATTTTTTGCCCTTTTTGCAGGTTTTCTGGGGTCTGGACAAAAAACTTGCCCAGAGGAAGCATTTCCCCTCTGTGAACTGGCTTATTTCCTACTCTAAGTACTCAACAGTATGTTCATTAACTGTTATCCCTTATCATTTATGAAAGGCGGCCCCTTTTTTGGTGTCACTGATTGAAACCATATTTGATCGTTCATTCCTTTTTGTTGCTTGTTTGATTTGTTTCTCTGTGTGTTGTTTGTAGGCATTGGAGTCTTTCTATGATCAATTTGATCCTGATTTTATCAACATCAGGACAAAGGCACGTGAGGTTTTGCAACGAGAAGATGATCTGAATGAAATTGTCCAAGTAAGCCTTTTTTGCTTGTACTATGAATTAGGGGGTTCTTCAATCCTAATGACACAAACCATCTTATATATTTGCATGTTACTTCTCCAACACTCAACTACAAATTACTGTAAACATTAAAGAGTGGGGTGATGTTTTAGGCTGCCCTAAATTGATATCTTGGTTACTGCAGCTTGTAGGAAAGGATGCTTTGGCTGAAGGAGATAAGATCACCTTAGAAACTGCAAAGCTCTTGAGGGAGGATTATCTCGCACAGAATGCATTTACTCCGTGAGTTCCAGCTCTGTAGTCCTGTTGAACAATACATGTTCTAATTATCCATATCTTCTTTTCTTTGTTATTTTTGGTTGGGCCTGGTAAGCTTGTTGATCTTTTACATCGTTTGCATGGCTGGACAGATATGACAAATTCTGCCCATTCTACAAGTCTGTTTGGATGATGCGGAATATCATTCATTACTTTAATCTGGCCAATCAGGTGAACTGTGTATCCTTTTCTTTCCTTTCTTTTTATGACCTACTATTTCTGCATTAGCTTATCTTCGGTATGTCTGAAGAATCGTGTCTAGGTAGATTGAGGTTTTTCTTTCCTGTTCATATAATAAGGGTAATGATGGATATTAATATATATCATTGCTATAAATATTTTTTTACCCGGAACCAACTCCTAGAAGGGTGCAATGGATAAGAATTAAGCAGTTTATTTATCATACATAGAGAACTTCTGAGTTCGACTTAAAACAGCAAATTGAATGAGCAGTGGTTGTGGGTCCTTTATTGATATGATGCGGTTCTCAATATGCAGGCAGTAGAGAAAGCAGCTGGTATGGATGGTCAAAAGATAAGTTACACCCTAATCAAGCACCGTTTGGGAGATCTCTTTTACCGCCTAGTGTAAGTAACATTATAATGCTAAACAGGGGGGAACATTTTAATAATTTATAGGAAACAAGTCTTTAACCCCTTTATGGTGGCGTGCAGGTCGCAAAAATTTGAGGATCCGGCAGAAGGGGAAGAAGTACTTGTGGGAAAATTTAAGAAGCTACATGAGGACCTGACAAGTGGTTTCCGTGCTCTTGAGGATGAAACCCGATGATTGAACATCTCAAAACTATGAGTTTTAGATTATTCGAGTGGCTGTTACAAATTGCGTGGTGATGCAGTTTGAGTTACTGTGGATTCTTTTTGTTGTGCATGAAGAACGACAGTTTTAGGTTTTGTGGTGCCACCACTTTTGCTTTGATCGTGTGGCAGTTGTTCTAGTTGGAATGTGTAGTTATAGTTTTAATTATTGTATTCCTGTCATTCCCTTGGGGTTTTTGTTCCCACAATAAGAGACTAGATCCATTCCTTATTAATGTATTTAAGAAATAAGGTATGTATGATTTCCATTTGTCATTTATTGGTTCTTTCGGCCATTTCTCTCTTCTGCATGTCTATTTTAGTCTGGAAATGAAGGCACACAGAGAGTAAAAGTAAAAGGAATAACAAACATGCCCTTATTAAGACGACCCAAAAATCCCCTTCCGTTTTCTGATACATTAATGCAATACTGAAATACGGTCAAATGGTATAATCAACATACGCATGTTAAATCATGAGGAATGAAAAGCCACGTACCGGTGTTATAGGTCTCACCAAAAACTTGCTTATGTTTCCCATCTCTTTTTCCGAGTAGCAACATTCAGAAAATAATTTGAGTCACGTGTATAGTTTGGTTTGAATCATTGTATAGCTGGGCTGTGGAAGAAGTGATTAGTAGTTCTAGCTCCAAACCTAAAGCTCGGTAAATTGGTAAGCTACCTTTATTAGTCAGCACATTCCCGATGTTTACCCCTAGCATGCTTGCCTTACAAAGCCCCAACCCATGACCTTTTTGAAGGGCCATGAGCTATACGTTCGACTTTTATAGTGATCAATTCCACTTAATTTGTACACCTAAACCAGACAAGAAATATCCATGCTACCTGCTAGATCTCGAGCAGGCTAGAAAGATTAAAACGCATTCACCCGGCAAAACCAAAAGAGAGATTAAGGCCGTGTAATCATCCTCCAGACACGAAGAACTGCTAGGAAGCAAGTTACTGCTTTTCAGCCAAGCAATGAAATTGAGATGGCCGTAGAATATGAAGGCTTTGAAGAACATGCAAATTTCATAAGGACTAAACACGTTATTGGTACCACAAAAGCAAGGTGCAAATAAAATGTCATTAGCAATCTACACAGATCTGAACAGAAACCGCCATATAGAATACAAATTGTAAATTCGATGTCCACATGAACTAGACCATACATATAGCACTGGCTTCAAAACGACAAACGAGACGGTTGATCCTTTGGCTTTCATATTCAACGACTTCCCAGATTTAGCCAGGGCCAACTTTAGGAATGTCATAGTGCTCACTCATGTTTGCCAGATACTGGTTGAAGTCTTGAATTCTGTCACGGTGGGATTTATTTGCTGTCTTGGCCATCCTATGTGTATCAATTCTCTCTCTCTGCTCTATATATCGCCTCTCTGCAGGTGTGAGATGATCATCATAATGAGGAGCCTTCCCCTCCTCACCTGATTTGTTGGCATCATTTATTTCTTCATCATCAGGGTTCGTTGATAGTTCTGTACTTCCACCTACACGCATTGAATGATTAAATTCAAACAAAAGGAATAATTTTGGAAACTAAATGGGATGATGAAAAGGAACCCAGATAAACATCATCATAATATTTCAATTCAAAAACAGTATCAAATTTTGTTACTAGGTTGGCTTGCTCTTAGTAAGAAAAACTGCATTGCATATAATGATACTATGACCAAATCAAAGAAATTAGCATCATTGACTGTTCATTAAGTATTTCAGTAGTAACGGCATTAAGTATTACAGTAGTACTGGAGGGTACTGGTGATCCCAGAACCATTGATCACACACAGAATTGATAAAATATATAGTAAACTAAAAATTAATCTGAAGTTAGAGAACAGTTCTCTTCATTTCTGCTTGTGTTTTTACACACACGTATCTGACCAAACGTTTCTCAATTTGCATGACAATAAAAAGAGGTAAAAAGGCAGCTTATTAAAACTTGAAAAGAAAAAAAAGAAAGAAGACTTCAACTTGATATCAAAAGGATGACTTACCAGCTGAGAGCTCATGTTCTGTGAGGAGAGATGTTTGATCTTGATGTTTCTTATGTTTCTTTTTCTTCTTCATTCCAGGAGCCTTCACATCTAGAGCCTTTCCCTTAAGCTTCAGCTTCCCACCAACAACATTCTCATATGATGACATTTTCCTTGTCTATAAGATAAGAAAGCAAAAACTTATGCTCTAGATCACAAAATTGAAAACAATGCACAAAAAGAGTATATGCACATGGCAGAGAGCATTCATAAGTGGAAAGAATGAGCTTTCAAAACAGAGGTAATCACAGGACAACTATGCACCGCCCCAATAATCAAAGAGGGTAAATTGGTGAAGCAACAAGTAATAATAATTTGTTGTTGAACCCACATTAACCCAACTCATGCTACACAATAAAGCTCAATTGAACTCAAAAAACCCTACTTTCAGGTAATTGGGGTGGCAGAAAGAATCAATTTTACCCTTATCTGAGAACCCATGAAACCAGAAGAATAAATAAACAAATAAACCAATTTGTTATTCCATAATGAGATCCCAATTTCAGCCAAATGGCTCCTAATCTAACAAGACAACAGAAATCAATTGATTCATGAACCTTTATCTTCCTTGGCAACTGACAACTTAATAATTAAATCCTTCAAATTCAAGAAATACATAACATAACCCAAAAGAAAATCGTGATCTCCTCAACTGGAAAAAAAACAGAGAAAACATAGTAGATTAAGAAAAATGAGCACAAATTCTCAGATGAATATAGAGAAAGCAAAAAAGCAGCGAACCCTAGGATTGTACCTCAAAACAAAGGAAAACTGGTGCTCAGTCGCTTAGAAATTTAACCAAAGATTACTTCTTTCCAGTTTTCTGATTCAATAATCAAGCCGCGAACGGAATGATTTGGATTCGTTTAGACTCGGAAGACACTGATTTTTTGAGTTCTTCCTTGTGTTTCAAAAAAAAAAGAGAGACCCGGGGCCCAACCTTTAATTTTGTCCTTTTTATTGGGCAGGAATTTTGCCTTTAGTTAACTGATCCTAAATAATCCTTTTGAACTTTTTAAAAAATTCTTAGTTTATTATTACTATTATTTTTTTATGCGAAAATTCTTAGTTTACGTTTGCTACCCTTTTCACTGACCTTTATTTATATATTTTTCTAAGTTTACCGACCCTTATCAATCACGGCAAAAATAAATGAAAATACAAATTCGAAAAAAATAAAATAAAATAAAATAAAAAAGGATGAGAAAAATACCAAAGATTAAAAATTAAATGAAAAGTAAATTGAGTAACAAAAAGCCATGCTGGCAGATGGTAAAATTCTTGACGGTAAAAAGTTGAATTTTGTCGGGTATGCTAATATATGTTGCAAGTTTATAGGTTTAATCACTGGTGGAGCCAATGCATGGGCACTGGCCCCTCTTAAATATTGTATAGACAATTATATGTTAGTGATATTGTAAAAATATTATAAAATTCCTCACAAATTCTTAAATGTCCACTATTTTCTTTGCTTCTCTTTCATGTCTAAATTTCTTTTGAATTGCATGTATTTTGTTATCATAAAAGAGTTATAGGTTATTCATACAAAAAATAAAGAAAAGAAATAGAGAAAAGTGATAAAATTACGGATTTCTTAAAAACTAGGTTGATTTGTCATAAAAGAAAGTGTTTGAATTTTTAAGGGTGCCCCTCTTACTTAAATTCATGGCTCCGCCATTGAGTTTAATCTCTCTTTTTCCAGACCGTTGTGCAGATGATGATGATCTTGACTTGCATCATGATGATGATGATGATGATGAGGTTAATGATCTTCATTTGCATGATGATGAGATGCCCGAGGTTAGCATGGGAGAGATTGATAAAAAAGGTAAAGAAAAATTTGGATAGAAAAAAATAGCTAGGATGGTAGGAAGGCTTGGCAGAAGAAGCAGAAGTAAAAGAGAGGGTGGTAATATTGTGATTGGTGGTGGTGGTGGTGATGGAAACGAAGCCAAAGAAAGCAACAAAGGGAAAGAGGGCCAAAAAGGTAAAGAGGCAATGGTGGGGATGTGTAGGAAGGCTTGGCAGAAGAAGCAGAAGTAAAAGAGAGGGTGATAATATTGTGACTGGTGGTGGTGGTGATGGAAACGAAGCCAAAGAGGGCAACAAAGAGAAAGAGGGCCAAAAGAGGCAATGGTGGCGGTGAGCAACCATCACAGCAAGAGCACGAAATGGATCTTCACGCTGTCTTTCTCTTTTAGGAAACAAGAATTGCTATAGTTTACGCCAACGGATCTAGCCTAATGAAAAAAGACATTGACTTGCATATTAATGATGTTTGGTTCGAACCCCCAATTTGATATAGCTTATCTTATGGTTCTAAGACTTTTTTGTCTTTTTTATAGTCGATCTACTGTTGACTTCAATTATAGTGGCAAATTTCGTATAATTAGTTTACTGACTTGGTTAAGTCTTTTATATAATTTACCTTTGTTCCTCTTTTACATGTTTTTCATATACATCAATAATTTAGAGAAAAAAATTGAAATTGAATCGACTACTCCTTCCTGATATTTTAAATAAAACAATGTTCTTAATTATTATCAAAATAATTTTAATACCCATTTTCTCCATACTCTCCTTCCGAATGAGTAAACATGTCATAAGGTTATATAAGGTTGCATACATTGAGTTGTATATATGTATTTGAATGTTTGAACAACTCTCTAGCAAGTGCCTCCGATTACTCATTTTCAAAATAAAAGGTGTCCATATATAATTTACCTTTGTTCCTCTTTTACATGTTTTTCATATACATCAATAATTTAGAGAAAAAAATTGAAATTGAATCGACTACTCCTTCCTGATATTTTAAATAAAACAATTTTCTTAATTATTATCAAAATAATTTTAATACCCATTTTCTCCATACTCTCCTTCCGAATGAGTAAACATGTCATAAGGTTAGATAAGGTTGTATACATTGAGTTGTTGTATATATGTATTTGAATGTTTGAACAACTCTCTAGCAAGTGCCTCCGATTACTCATTTTCAAAATAAAAGGTGTCCAATGAAGGAAGTTGAGGTTCCACCCCAAAACCAATTGGCAATGAGGGGAGTAGCCCAACTCCTTATAAGCCCTTGCTAGGTTTCTTAACTTTCCAATGTGGGACTCTTTACCTTCACATTCTCACACGCTCCCGCACGTGTGGCGAATTTTTAAGCCTATCACGTGGACAACTCATATTGGGTGACGTGGAGCACGTGTGGCCATTGGGCTTTCACACGTGGGCTAACCTGCTCTGATACCATGAAGGAAGTTGAGGTTCCACCCCAAAACCAATTGGCAATGAGGGGAGTAGCTCAACTCCTTATAAGCCCTTGCTAGGTTTCTTAACTTTCCAATGTAGGACTCTTTACCTTCACATTCTCACATTCAAGAGGCTTGCTTAGTAATAGTAGGGGCATGCAAGAGACAAGGATTTATACCAGCACCATGCACCCAGAACAGCATCAGGGAGATTCAAAGACTTGGCTCAATATCATCCGACTGATGAAGAAAAAAGTAATAACAGAGGGTAAATTGGTGAAGCAAAAAGTAATAACAATTTGCTGCTGAACCCTCATTAACCAAGTCATGCTATATAGAATAAAGCTCAATTGAACTCAAAAAACCCTACTTTCAGTTTCAGGTCATTGGGGTGGTAGAAATAATAAATTTTACCCTTAATTATCTGAGAACCGACGAACTAGAGACGAATAAAATAAACAAATAAACCAATTTGTTAGTCCATAATGAGATCCCAATTTCATTATGATTTGATTCGACCCGGAAGACTTTGATTAGTTTATGAGTTTTTGCTTGTATTTGAAACTTGGGGTTGTTTGTGGGGTATAACTTAGTTGGTTTGGCTCTTTCACCTCCACCCTTGTGGTGGGGCTAGTATTTCACATTAGAGGTGACCCTTCATAAAACTTGTCTTCTCTTCATAATTATTATGAATTTCATATTTTAAATTGGTTAAATACTAATTTCATCATCTACACTATTAAAGACTTAAAAATTAATAATTTATATTCCAACAAAGAAAAAAAATATAGAGTTCATAAAGCGTAATATTAAGGTACCCAACTCATACATGAAAAAAGAAGAAGAGGAAATTGTAAATTTCACCAAGCTTTAAAACAAAAGAGGAAGAGTAGTTTTTAGTGCAAAAATCATTACCAACCTAGAAGATTTAAGGGAGATGAGTAGAAGAGAGATCAAGAAATTTTATGGTTAATTTGTAGACAAAAAGAACCTAATATATTATTTTATTTTCGGATAAATATCCTAAAACTAATATAATATATTATAATAATATATCATATATAATATTCAAATAGAAGAGGTAAAAATGGAGTGGAGGCTTGGGACCACACTGGCTCCATGCTGACTCCAGAGGTTTGAGACCCCCGTTCAATGAATATTTGTGTAAACAACCTCCCCAATCGCTTCGCTTGTACTTAAAAAAAACATTGAGAATTTCTCTTCAAATGGCATAACCACTTTAAATAATAATGACCAGGACCCAATTTATAATTTTGCCCTGGTTTACTAACCTTTATTTTTAATTTTTAGTTTTTTTTTTCCCCAAGTGATGAAGGGGGAATGGGAAAATTCACACACACAATACCACGAGGACTTGAACCTAGGACCCCTTGGAAGCACACCAAAGGCCTGTGCCATTCTAACACCCCATCGGTAATTTTTATTTTTCTAAGTTTACTGAACTTTATAAAAGAATAAATGAAAATAAAAAAAGGATGAGAAAAATAGCAAAAATTAAAAATTATACGAAAAGTAAAATGAGTAACAAAAAGCCATGCTGGCAGATGGTAAAATTTCCAGACAGTAAAAAGTTGAATTTTGTCGGGTGTGCTAATATATGTTGCAAGTTTATAGGTTTAATCTCTCTTTTTCCTGACCGTTGTGGAGATTATTAATTTTTTTTTCTTCACAATTATGTAATTTTTAGTTTCTGTTTTTTTTTTCCTTATTGTAATTTAAGTTGTTCTTAAGATTTTATGAATATATATATTTGTTCGTAAGATATTACCATATTTGTCAGTTGTTTCTTCTCCTGATATCAATTAGGACTTGATGTTTCCTATTTAAGTTGTTTCTTCCCTGATCAATTAGGAGGCCTTGATGTTTCCTTCTGAGGGTGTTGTTTTTCCTTGTTCAACTAGCATTATTTTTTCTCCAAAGGAAGAAAAGGAAGGATATGTTTTCCGTTTTGAAATGGGGTTTATTAGTTATGTTTACTATATAAAGAGGTGTTTGAGGTGTGATTTGTTAAACTGTCTACAATTCACCACATTATTCACTCAAACTCAACCAATCTCTCTCTCTCTCTCTCTCTCTCTCTCTCTCATACACAACGAACAAGAATTAATGGGCAGGCAGCTTACTTTCGGAGTACTAACTTGTGCATGCAAAGGATGCAAGAAGGATAAGAAAAAAGTGGACGCGTTTGAGAAGGAAATAATGGGCGTGTTGAAGAAATTTGATGGCGTGCATCTGAGAGAGTTTGATTTCGGCCAAGGAAAGTTGGTGGTGGAAGTGGCAGACAATACTAGTGATTCAAACCTACTCATTAAGGCGCTTCAAAAGATTAAGAAAGCGCATAGCGTAGACCTCATGAAAGATGAAAGGGCTTCAGAAAAAAGCCAACCCCAACAACAACAACAACTCAACAAGAACATGGAAGCTGGTGGTGGTAAACCCAAAAAAGCTGTCACGTTCATATTGCCTGAGGAGGAGGAGGAGGAGGAGGAGGAGGAAGAATCTGATGCTGATGATGATGATGATGATGATGATCTTGGCTTGCATGATGATGATGATGAGGTTGATGATCTTCATTTGCATGCTGATGAGATGCCCAAGGTTAGCATGGGAGAGATTGATAAAAAAGGTAAAGATAAAATTGGATGGACACAAGGTAGAGGCAATGTTGGAGATATGCATC